CCCCCCCCGCCCCCCCCGGACCCCCCGCCCCCGGCCCTACGCTGCACCCCCGAAGCACCCGTCCCCCAGCCCCTCGCTGCACCCCCGGAGCCCCTGCCCCGGCCTCTCGCTGCACCCCTGGAGCACCCTCCCCAGCCTCTCGCTGCACCTCCAGAGCACCCGGCCTCTCACTGCACCCCCGGAGCACCCTCTTTGCACTCTCACCCCGGCCACTCGCTGCCTCCCATCTAGCATCCATCCCCAGGCTCTCACTGCACCCCCAGAGCACCCACCCCCAGCTGCTTGCCCTACCCCCTTTGAATTCCAACCCCCGGCTGCTCCCTGCACCTCTTAAAACCTGACCCCAGCCACCACTGCATTCTTATAGTATCCACATTGCACCCCAAACTCTGACTCCTGACTGCACCCCAACAGCCCACCCCAGCCATTCACTTGCACCCCCAGAGCACCCTAACCTCTGGCTGTATGCTGCACCCTGTAACACCCCCATTGCACCCAATCCCCAGTCACTCACTGCACCCCTGTAGCACCTCCATTGCACCCCAACACCTAGCTGCTCACTGCACCCTTCATTACATCCTAACCCCACTGCACCCCCATTGCAACCCCACGCCCTGTATCTCCTGCACCCCTAGAGCATCCAGTTGCTCTCTGCAGCCAATGTCAACCTTGTCTGCCCTGCCCCAGGTGTCACTGGATCAGTACCAGACGGAGGAGGAAATCTACCAGCTGTCGCTGCAGAGAGAGCCCCGTGGCAAGTCGTCCGTGAGTGTGTGTGTGAGTGCACGACGCTGCATGACCAGTGCCCTGCAAGGGCCATGACCCCTCTGGGGCCTCCCGTGGAAGCCGGGGGGAGCAGCAGACTATGTCGTCTCTGTCCGGTCCCACCCTAGCAGCTGGTTCTCAGGCGCATTCACAGCTGCCTTCCACTCCACTCCCTGGGGGCCGAGCTTCCTGCTTAGAGAGAGGGGGCTGCAGCATCCCGCACGTTCACTAACACCCCCTCCAGCTCCAGCCTGGGGCTGCAGCACTGGGGGAAGGATCCCCGTATAAACAGCCCCTGTGCTCCACCCCAGAGCGGGTTACCTCTCAGCACTGGGCAGCGGATCATTCAGAGGATGTCTCTGTCCATTCAGCCATCCAGCCCCACCTCCTGTTCCCCGCCAAGCCGACCGGCCGACATAGATGAGTGGGCCTTGGCTGTGAAGCCCAAACCGGACCAGGCGCTGGTGCAGAAACACATTGAGAAGATGGTAGAGGTGAGAGCTGGGGCTTCAAACACCTTGCTCTGAGTTTCTGTGGGGTGGGGCAAAATCTCTGAGACTGCTAGAGCAGGGTACATAGCACTGACCCTGGCCCCAGTCTCTGCTGCCCCCTATACTCCATGTGGGGCAGCAGCGGGGGGGGGGGGGGGGGATGTGGGTGTGACACCTCTGGAGTCACTGCTGCCCCCTGCAGTCCATGTGGGGAAGTGAGCTCTGGGGGCTTTATCCCTACGGGTGACTCTCCCTCTGCTCTCTGCTGCCCCCTGCAGTCTATGAAGAGCCTGGGGGCTGCATAGGGGTGGTGCATTTCTAGGGCTGACCTCCCCTCTGCTCTCTGCTGCCCCCTGCAGTTCGTGGGGGGAGCGTGGGGGCTGCATAGGGGTGGTGGATCTCTAGAACTGACCCTCCCTCTGCTGACCCCTGCAGTCCGTGTTCCGGAATTTCGACGTGGACGGAGATGGCCACATCTCCCAGGAGGAGTTCAAAATCATCCGCAACAACTTCCCCTATCTGTGCAAATTTGGGGACCTGGATGAGAACCAGTGAGTGCACAGGAAGGGGAGGGTGAGGTACTGGGGCCTGGCTTCCTCCTAGAAGCCTCATCCCCTTAATGCTTTCTTGGAACCTGTGAGTGTTGACTCCCATGCCTCCCAGCTCTGCCCCTAATCCCCACTCCCTGCATGATGCTATGTGCCCCTAGGGATGGCTGTATCAGCCGGGAGGAGATGATTTCATACTTCATGAAGTCCAGTGCGGAGCTGGATGGGAAGATGGGCTTCATCCACAGCTTCCAGGAGACCACCTTCCTGCGCCCCGTGACCTGCCGCCACTGCAAGAGCCTGGTGAGTAACTGCTGGCCCCTCAGTTGGGGGCTGCCCTCTATTCTGCCCCATGAGAACACAGGACCCCCTCACTGCCACACTCCCATAGGCAGGGGGGCTTTTCCTCTGGGGTACCCCCTTTTCCCTTCCCCCCCATAATGACTGGAGGGACCATTCTGCCTAAGAATGTTGCACCTCGTTCTGGGGGTGTCCTATGGTCAAGGAGAGGACAAAAGGGGGGCTGGACCCCTGCAGCAGGAGCAGGGGAGACGACTGAAGAGACATAGACCCCATCTCAACATCCAGCAGCTCTCTAGCTTTTGCTGTCCCTGCGTAGTTATCCCTGGATAAAGATGCCATCCCCCAGAGAGGGCCCAGTTCAGTTGGGACAAAGGGGTCTGCTCTTCTCAGAGGATGTGGTCTATGGGGGGAAGGCATGTTCATGCTGGGGTAATTGGGCAAGGACTCTCTCTCTAAGCAGCCTGTGTCTCACCCCAGAGGGAGCTGCATCTCAACCCCAAAGGAGGGTCCCTGTGCCTCATCCCAGAGGCAGCTGCATCTTAGTGTTGGGTGGGGTAGTGGTACACCCCATCCCAGTGCCAGCTGCATTTTACTGCATAATGAGGGATCCCTGGATAAATAGCTCCCACACCCTACTGCAGAGGTGGCTGCATCTCAGCAGGGATAAGCGTTCTAGTGACAGCTCATCCCCTGCCAGCACTGGTCGATGCTCGCATTGTCCGTTCCATGGGAAATCCCAAGAACCAGACACTTGGAATCAAGGCAGAACGTTGAAATCTTGGAATGTTTTAGGAAATGAAATCTCGGGAAAAGTAGTTCATTTCAACTGTGGTGATTTGACTACTGTTGTCACTCCCCCTGCATCTTTCTCCCCAGATTCTGGGAATCTACAAACAGGGGTTCAAGTGTCGCTGTGAGTTTGGGGGCAGAGAGGGGAGGGGCTGCCTGGGGGCGGCACTGGGGGAGAGGGACTGTGGGTGGCTGCCTTCCAGGGATGAGGTGCATTGGGGGTATATAGGGGCTGTGGGTAATTGGGGGTGCATGGGGATGCTGGGCAGTGGGAGGTACAGCTGGGAGAGCTGGGAGCGCACAAGGGAATTGGGAGCTGGGGTCCCAGAGGTGTGTCAGGGAGCTGGGCTGCATTATGGTGTTTAGGGAGGTGTGGGGCTATGGGGGGCTGCACCAAGGGAAGCCTGGGGGAGGGGGTGGGGCAGGGCCAAGCCTCCCTGACCCTTTTTGTTGCCCCCTTAGGCTGTGGCGTGAGCTGCCATAGGCAGTGCCGGGAGCAGCTCTCCATGGAGTGCCGCAAGCGGGCCAAGAGTTTCAGTCTGGACAGCCCTGCCCACATCCCTGCTCGCTCCTTCAGCTTCTCGCTGCCCCGCCCATCCCGTGGCTCCCTGCGCCATACAGGTACAACACCTCCAGCCCCTCCAGCGTTCCCCTAGCAGAGCTGGGGAAGAGAGCCCTAGAGACCTGACTCTGGCTCTTCCCCCACTCTCCATGGCCCGGCCGGAAGCCAGCTTGCAAGCAGGATAACACCTCCCGCTCTGCATGCCATTTCCTGGCCTCACCGAGGCTGGCCGGTGCTGGCCTGTGATACTGCACCGTGCTGCTTCCTGTTTGTGTCACTGCGGATGGTGCAGAACAGCGCTCTGAGCCCTGGCAGCTATTTTGAGACAGCTCCACCCTGGGCCCCCAGCAAATAGCATATTGATTTATCCTAGCCTGCTTCCGCACAGGCTTCCTGCCTGCACAGCCCCTGCGCCCCACCCCAGAGGCAGCTGCATCTCAGCGCTGGGTGAGGGATAGTGGTATATATAGCTCCTCATGCCCCACTGCAGGGCTGACTGCATCTCAGTGTCAGGGGACAGATCCCTGTACAAATGACTCCCCTGCCCCACTCATGAAGAGGCTGCAATTGTTTTGCTGGGGAGGGGTCCATGCTTGTCAAAGTGCATTGGGAGTACTGGCCATGATGAAGCCTAGCCCAGTGGCTCCCCCGTGTGGTGGGAGTGGGCACTGCTCCATTAGCTCCTTTTGGCTGCAAGTCTGGTGTGTCTCTGCAGAGATCCGCGAGGAGGAGGTCCAGGACGTGGAGGATGGGGTTTTCGATGTCCATTTATAAAGGCAAACACGTAAGAGCTGCTGGGAAGGGGAGGGGGACTGGGTTCAAGGGCTCTGTGCTGGGCACTGAGACAGAAGTGGACTGTAGTGGTTAGAGCTAGTCTGAACCCAGGGGCGGCCTGTCCATATAGGCGAACTAGGCGGTTGCCTAGGGCACCAAGTTAAATGGGGCGCCAAACGGTGGCGCAATATCATTAAGGGCTTTGGAGGTGGGGGCGCCGAGTGCATGGTTCGCCTAGGGCGCCAGTTGCTGGCAGCTAGTCTAGGGCCGCCCCTGTCTGAACCCTGTGCTCGGTGTGTTTTAGGGCCTGCTCTTCTTCACCAGCTGTGGTTCTTCCTCCACCACTCCTCACAAGCTGGGGTCTCTGCCCCTCCAGATCTGCCTGCTCCCCACTGCAGGATGACAGAGACAGAGCAAGAAACCGTAGGACAAGGGGGAGAGACTGTCTTTCCAGGGGGGATGCAGAAGCTGCTGTGGGGCCAACTGGATGGATCCTTTACTGGTTGAGGAGTTGGCTGTATGTCAGGACTCCTGGGTTCTCTCTCTGGCTCTGGCAGGGGAGTTGGGCCTAATGGTTAGGGCAGGGGGGGACTAGAAGCCAGGATTCCCAGGTTCTAGCCACAGCTGTGGGAGTGGAGGAGAGGGAGCAAGGACTCCTGTGTTCTATGAATGGAGGATTGAGACATGAGTTAACTGGGAGGGGGTCTGGGGAGCATCTTATGGAATTAATAAGACCTTTCCTGATGTTCCCCCAAACACATCCTCGTGTGCTCCAGCATCAGGGGGTAGCAGGATGGTGGGGCGAGGGGACTTCCCTCTCTCTGGTAAGACCTGCTTGCCCTGCAGGGATGAGGAGCTGGTGGCCAATGACAGAGGGGAAGTGCAGAGGCTTGGGGTGGGGGTGGGGGGGGGGTGTGATTACAGGATACCCCCTGCCTGTAAGCCCGGCTGTACAGATTTCCTTGCTGTGTATATTTGTACCCAACAACCAGATTCAGAGATGTAATAAATATAATAAAACCAACAGTCCCAGTTCCCATCTGTCCCCTAATTGGGTCCATTTGTCTATCTGGGAGCCCCTTCTCCTCACTCCTATTGGCCTTCCCCACCTCCTGCATATCCTGGTGTTCTGGAGCTGAGAGGTGGCTGGGAGGAGTGTGGGGGGCTGGAGGTCAGGACTAGTGTTCCCTGTAAGCTGTGTTCTTGGGAAGCCACTCATGAGAGATTCAAATGCTGCCCGGTTGATTAGCAAAGTGCCATAGATAGTAGCATGTGTTTCTAGTGGTGGTGCACATCCACACATGCCTTGGTACACATAACAAAAAAAATTATTCCATACATTTGTGGAAAAAATTAGTGGCAACATTGGTCAGGACTCCTGGGTTCTATTCCCAGATGCGGGAAGGAGCCTTGCTGTCTATCTCTGGAAGATCCCAGGGAGGGAGCTGGAGGCTTTGTGTTACTGGCCCAGGGAGGGGCCTGGGATTGTGTCCTCATCACTCTCTGCTGAAGCCTGGGTCTGGGTATCTGCTACCCCTGCTGGATGAAGTGAGATTTATGTGTCGTGTGTTCTTGATGTGCCCAGTCCCCACTGCCTCCTGCTGGTGGGGTGAGCCCTGCTGTGTGTATGTGCCCCCTCCCCCAGTGCCTGTTCTCAGACGCCTGCCCCTCTGCCATACCTGGTTATTGGAGTCACCATATTGCAGTGACATGGGAAGAGGAAAGCGCTCCGATAAATACATCAATACCAACCATATTGTCCTGGCCGAATCCGCCCCGGAGTCAGCACATTCTGCACCAGCCAGCTAGTGCTTCATGCAGGAGACGGACATTTCTGTAATGCCCCAGCCCAGCCTCAGAGAAATGGCTAGCAGGGTCCTGAACAAAGGAAAGGTGGCCACATCTGGGGGGGAGGGGAGGCATTTATATAAGGATCCCTCTTCTCATGCTGAGTGCAGCTGCCTCTAGGGTGGGGCATCTCTTTATACAGAGTCCAGACACCAGAAGAGAGGTGGGGGGAAGCAAATCTGTTGCATGTTTCTATATTTTTTCCTAAATGTTGCTTGTCAAATCACATGTGAGACAGAAAAATAAATAAATAAACAACTATTGATTTTGCCTGGGTGACAGATTATATTTATCATTCCGTATTGCACATGTCACAGCTGCTGTCATACTGGCCTCAAATTAGAAGCTGGGCCTTAATATGCTGCCACAACCCCCCCGAAGCCCCGACAATCCAGACATGTTAGACATATCCCCCACCTCCCATCCCATCTGACAAAGACAAGGTTAATGGAACAATCTGTTCTCTGCAAATAGAATTTGGTTGCCTTTGTCTATATGTTTATTTCCAGGGGCATGTGCCTGGGTTATTTCCAGAAGCATTCTGGTGCTGTGAATTGGACTGGCATCCCTGGCCCTCGCACTGCCCAGGATTCAAGGGTTCAAACAGCTGCCTGTGGCCCAGGCACAGTAACCTCGCGTGGGTTGGCACTGGGGTCAGCACGGGCTGCGATGGGAGATTGCCGCCGATGGGCCCCTGCCCTGCTCCCTGCCACACTCCTTGCTCGCACAGCAGAGTGTGGCTTGCTGTTGCAGGACTCCTGGATCCCTCTCCTGTCGGCAGGGGGGACTTTGCAGGGCCCCGCAGATCTCAGCTGGGGGAGGTTAATGGGATGTGATTAATGTCCCTACTCCCTACTACAGCTGATGGACAAATGCAGGAGGGCGGGGGAGGTGGCAGTGCAGGTTGGCCGATAGGACATGTTTCTAGGAGGAACAGATCCACTTAGCAGCAAAGCCATTGGAGTCAGTGGGAGCCGCCTCTGCACAAGCCACAGGATGGGGGGAGAGATCTGGGAGGGGATAAAATCTCTTTACACCCATAAGTGAGACACCCCAGGGAGCGCTGGCTGCAGGTGATGCTCCGGCTACTCTCAGCTCTGGCCTCTCCCAGCAGGGGGCTGTGGGCAGCACTGGGTGCATTTGCTCTGTTCCCTTGCCCTTTTCCTTTCTAGCTCATGTAAGGGGCTGCCCCCAGTGTCCACAGCACACCCCAAGAGCTGACATGCTGTCGATTTTTGCACTGAATCGTGAACTGCCAGGTTGCCCTCTCCCCGCCCACCTGTTCAAGCCTGGCTCCTAGTACAACCTCTTTGCTTGGTACACAGGGGGCCACTGAGCTCTGCTACATATTGCTTCAAATCATCTACCTGATAAACTCATCCTCTGTTGGTGGGAGATGGGCTGCTCCCCAGATGCACTCGCGGCCTCTGCACTGAAACAGGGAAATTGACACAGGATCTTGCAGTACCAGACTGCAGCACTAGGGGATGCTGTAGCACCTGCCAAAAGGTACCTTGGATGTTGCACTACCATCCTACCACACCAGGAGATGCTGCAGTACCTTTCAATATATACCCAAGAATGTTCGGTACCAGCCCCCAAATGTGAGGGGACACTGATACCAGCTACAACAAAACTGCAGGTCACCAGAGTCTCATCCAAAAAAAATAAATCAGGCTACCTAGCCAGCCTAGAATACTAGAGGATGATACTACAGCATCATGTAACTATACTATAGTGTTAGTGGTCCGATAAAAATGCTAGGTTAGCCTGCAGTACCATCTAGGAATATTAATAATTGCTTGAGAACCTGCCTAAAATTTGTAGGTTCGGGTGCGAAGCTGCCAGATAGAGTCAGTGCTGCTAGCATAGTGCTGAAACGCATGGGGTGATGCTAGTGAATAACCCACAAAAATACTCATGTTCATGCCTCTACTATAGGTACAGCCCTATGAAATCCACAGCTATGAAAAATGTGGCATGGACCATGAGATCGGGTCTTCCCCTGTGAAATCTGGTCTTTTGTGTGCTCTTCCCCTGTACTGTATAGTTTTCCTGGGGGGAGACCAGGATTTTACAAATGGGAAGTCCTGATCCAAAAGGGAGTAGGGGGGGGGACTAGGTTATTTTAGGATTGCCACCCTGACTTTTGTTCTACTTTCAGAACTGGATGGCCAGAGAGCAGCAGTTGTTGGCCAGGCACCCAGCTCTGAAGGCAGCGTCCTGCCAGCAGAAGTGCAGAAGTGAGGGTGGCAATGTGGGGAGACCAGGATTTTACAAATGGGAAGTCCTGATCCAAAAGGGAGTAGGGGGGGGGACTAGGTTATTTTAGGATTGCCACCCTGACTTTTGTTCTACTTTCAGAACTGGATGGCCAGAGAGCAGCAGTTGTTGGCCAGGCACCCAGCTCTGAAGGCAGCGTCCTGCCAGCAGAAGTGCAGAAGTGAGGGTGGCAATGTCT